AGACTCAATTTTCAAGCGAGAATGAACTTTACGGTTTGTGTTCTGGTTGCTCTTTGCTTATTCGAACAAAAAGTACTTTTTAAATTATAAATATATATCACACAAGTTTGTGGGGGAAAAACAGGAGTACTTTACTAGAACGGATAGTAAGTTCCACCCACACGGTCCTGAATCTCTGCGCATCGTTTTATAATATTATGTCATCCAACGAAAGAAGTACAGTATGTAACGAGATAGGGACGGCCTTATACCTTGAACTTCATAAGAAATTATTATAAAATTTGTGCTCAAGGTCACGCACAGATAGATGTGAGAGAAGAACAAGAAGAAGAAGAAAAATGAGCTCGTAAAGAGTAAAAGAGTCATCTCCAAATTCAGTTGCAGTGAAGTAATAGATGCCCATCCTTTCGTGCTTCAGACTAGTTCTTGGGCACGGGCAATTCGTTCTTCCGTCTGTCCACTTCTTATTGACCGTCTCTGGCCGCTCCATAGCTCAAGCGGTTAGTCGCTGGCTTCCCATCGCGGCGGCCCGGGTTAGATCCCGGGTCTGGTCAAGGGGAATTTGTGGTGGACAAAGTGGCGCTGGGGCAGGTTTTCTCCGAGTACTTCGGTTTCCCCTGTCAATCTTCATTCCACCAATTGCTCCACAATCACCCTCACCTATCATCTGGGGCTGGTACAATAAGCCAGAAGTGGCCGCAGTAAAAGGGACTTAGTCCCATTTGTGTTAAAATATTAAAATTCACGTTTTTATAAAAGATTATCAACTCCGTTAGTGTGACTGAGTCTTTTAACCATTTTAATCTTTCATCCTTATTATGTTTCGGCCTCAGAGATCATCTTCAGGACAGGACCAGGACGAATCAAATCAAATTCACGTTTATTTTTATTTAAAAATTATTTTCTCACGTTTCTGGCGCACTACATTTTTCGGCCGGTATGGTCATTATCAAGTACTTTCAAAATTACTGTTAAGAACTGCTGCAAACGACACGTTAAGATGAATCATCCAGCATCCCAGACGCACATATAAGGGCGAATAAACGAGGGTATACTTTGACATTATATGCGCTGACGAAGGTGCGGCAGCTTTGAACAACAATTTTGCAAGCACCTCATGATGACCATATTGATCGAAACACGTAGTGTGACAGTGACGTTAACAAAAACAACAATTTTAAAATTAAAAAAAAAATACACGAATTTGAAGATTTGAACACAAGTTTGCTGTAGCGTAGTTGGTCGAGGCATTATGCTACAAGCCGGAATGTTGAGGTTTCGAATCCCGATGTGGTCGTTTGATTTTTCAGCTGACCTAATATTTCCAGCCGTACTATGGTCCTGGGTTTGACTCAGCCTCTAACAGAAATAAGTACCAGGTTTCTTTCTGGGGGGTAAAGGGAGGCCGGCGCGTAAGGCTGACAACCTCACCACCATCTGTCGAGAAAAACGTGGGAGCTTCGACGTCTCACAACCCCCTGTGGGCCTCCAAAGTCTGCTACAGAGTGCAGCAAGATTGTGCAGCTCAGAATTATGGAAAATTCAACCTGTAATATTACTGGACTGAATACCTAATGGTGTCTGTTTGCACGGTTCCTATGTTTAGAAGTCGGGCTGCCTTGTAAACACTCCGGCCGACCACACACAAAGGAAATGAATGAAACTAACCACTAACTCCATGAAGTTCGGTCGTTGTTGAGAAACTGAAAATCTAAGAGTTACTCAAGAATTTCACATTTTTTGGAACCGAAAACTTCGTTACCGTGTCCACAAAAGCCTCCACTAAAGTGGTCGTGGTGTAATTTTAAGTACCATTGTGACATTTTGCCTGAAGAGGCTTAGGGAAGTCACGATAACAACTCAAGGTTGCCGGTATGTAGGCAGGATTTAAATTCGGTTCTTCCCGGACACGACGAAGAAAACCTGTCCAATGGAGCGTAACCTTCGGTGATTCCCCTTTCTTTTCGCTAATGAGGAAAAGGCGAAGCCAGATAATGAAGCGTTTATCGGCGAGTGTGTCGCAATTAATCGAGGGCTAATAGTCTTGTTTGCTGCTGCTACTTACCAAGACCATGAACCCCTATGTCGGGCAGCTGCGCGCGCGTATTTCCATTTACATTAGGCACAGCGCTTTTTCACATACACTGATTAGGTACGGATCCGACATAGCTCGGTCAATATAGTGACGGTTTACGGGATGTATGGCCCTGTTCTTATTTCCGACAAAGGGCAAGACATCCTTTTATCTACAACGTCTAGACCTGTTGTGGGGCCCACATAACCTCCTATCCAATGGGTACCGAGGACGATTTCCCCCGGGCGTAAAACGGCCGGAGCGTGAAGCTGATTACTAACCTCCAGCCAGTGCCGAGTTCAAGAATGGTGGAGCTCTGCTTCCACTTACCCATACGTCTTCATGGCACAGTGCTTGAATTATAAGCACAGGGAGAATTTCACCTTACGCCCCATATGATACCAGCTGCATAATGAGGAGCTTCATAACTTGCACTCGCCGAACATAATTAGAGTGATCAAGTCACGAAGGATGTGATGAGCAGGCCATTTAGCACAAATGGGGAGAAGAGGAATGCATATAGGGTATGGGTGGGAAAGCCAGAAGGAAAGAGACCATTGGGAAGATCAAGATGTAGGTAGGGGTAAAGGTAAAGCTATCCCTATAACGGGCTGTGGAGGCCCATAGGGTTGTGAGACGTCGAGGCCCACACATTTTCTAGACAATCGGCTCACAGATGGCGGTACGGTTGCCAGCGCCGGCAGCTCTTTGCCCCTCAGGAAGATTCCTAGTACTCATTTCTGTTAGAGGCTGAGTCGACCCCAGGGCCATAGTGCGGCTGGAAGGATTAGGTAATTTGAAAAAAAAATCCACCTCATCGGGAATCAAGCCCGTTACCTTCTGGCTTGTAGCATAGTGCCTCGATCAACTACGCTACCGCGGTGGATAATATTAAAATGGATCTTAGAGAGACAGGATGGGATGGTATGGACTGGATTGTTGTGGCTCAGGGTAGCGACCAGTGGAGGGCTGTTGTGAACACAGTAATGAACATTCGGCTTCCATAGAATGTTAGGAAACTTCTTGGATATCTTCACAAGTGGCGTCGTCTCAAGAAGGGCTCAGCTCCATGAAGTTAGTTTAGTCATGCGGTACCATCATCATAGAACGTTACTGCCGTAAGAATGGATATAGGAAGGGTCAGGATGCAAAAGAATCAGTATGCAGAATCGACCATATTAACAGTGCAATGGTGTCCATAATTAGTGATTACTTAATGGAATCGTATATTCCTCAAGGATGAACCGAGCCAGGAACTAAAATTACGTAACGCGAAGAGAGCCGTGAGCTTTAGGAAATGTAGCCTTAACATCTGGGACTGCGAAACGTAAATAATTCCATAAACCTACACATTTTGTGCAAATACAGGCAACCGGTCTATACTTGCGTTCAAGGTCAGCCATGCTGTTAGCTGATATTAGGCTCAGCGGCGTATGCAAAGAATAACTCACAATGAAACCGAGCCCAAGTACCAGTCCTTTTTAAGTTCTACATCTAAACCCATGGATATATTGGGGTCGTGGTTTCGAATTCTGATCACACATGGGTCTTATTATTATTATTATTATTATTAGAGGGGGTGGCTTTCCCCCATGAACTTAGACCAGTTATTGGTCCATTGTGCGTCCCCCTTTAATTTCTACTGTCGCCATACCCGTTCAGCCAACGAGGTCGGCCGTCGGTACCTGATATTTCCCCCATCTACCAGAGGCATTGGAAACTACTGGGGCGGGAAACTTCCCCTAATTTTGCTCAGAGGTCTCCTAGAGACATGAGGATCTTTTACGTGCCGTAAATCTACGACACGGGACTCACGGAGGCCGCTTAGAAGCTTAGTAGATACTAAAGGGTTCTGACGATGGTGTATAACACACATATATACTGGGTTTTGGGGCTTTGTCTATCGTCCGGATTCTAAATAACCAAAATAAAGCACCTTTCGGAAACTGGATCTGTTTCCGTCCTCAGGTGTAGGAAGACACTACCAAATATTAAGTCTATAAACACCTGAGACCAGGCTAAGTCCATGAGAGCTAACAGGAAAAATTTACACTAAAAATTGTTCCAAGCACTCACATGCGTGGAACCAGGATAGATACGGAGGTAGAAATTTATGCCACTAAACCAAACTAATAATGAAGTCCCTGAACCATGAACACATGGGTGTTTATCATGATTCTATCCGGCTCCTAACTAACAATTATCTGTTTTTCTATTGGAATTTGGGGCTGAGTGATGCACCAATCACATATACTGAGACCCTGAAACAAAGTAAAGGCGGAAAGTGGAAGCAAGGAAACATATAATGCACATTGCTGTGAACTGTAACGTTATGAAACCTTGGCTTTTAGTGAATTTGAACTGGGTTGTTATATGTATTTGCACTCAACTCAGCCACGAGATTATGGATTAATAATAATCATATATATATACATACACAAACACTTTCCAACGTTCAACAATGGAAGATGTGTCTTGGTGGACGAATATTATAGCGCGTTGCTAGGCAACAGACAGCGTGCCAATGAACTCGCAGGCTAGGAATCGCGTGACTTGTATTTTCTGTGTTGTCCGTGCGTAGCCTATATAACGAAGAAATCTAGCTTAGATTACTGTAGAGTGCAGTGTAGTGCCGTGCCGTGTAGTTAAGCGTCAGTTGCAAGAGTCCTGTTGTGAAGAGAAGACATTCCATATAATATCTGAAGTGTGTAATTCAGTGAGACTGTTACAGTTCCCGTGTTTTATTTGCGTTACCAGGAGACTTCTAGTGTGAGTGTAACAGTGAATTATAAAGTGTAGAATAGCGATTGCGCTATAATTACGTGTAATTGCTGGTGGTATGTATAAGGAGTGTATAAACTCGTTCATTCAATTGAGAACCCGCATTATTAAACAGCTGAAAGCTTCACTGCATAAATCAGATTAATAAATATTGACAGTAAATGAAAGGAAGGAAAAAAGGAAATTTGATAACTTGTGAAGGTGAGTGTACAGGTTTATAGGGTTATATAGTATGAATTTATAACTTGTAATGTAGGTCATAAAAATAAATAAGGACTTTATGTAATGTATGCTCTTTTTATATTGAAATTAAGTACATGTGTTAAGCCATAAACTTTCTGAAACGAAAAAATTGTCCAAGTCACTCAGAATTCCATTATAAATTATTTTTACTCTATAACCATTTCTTGGTAAAGACGAATCGACAATGACACATTGATCTTATAATAAGTTATCTCAAGTCTTCACTTTTAGAACTTGGAACAAAGATTTTAAATCCAGTCTACCTATTGACCACTCACGGATGCTGTGATTTAACTCTTTCAATGAGAAGACTTAAATGGACCACCCTGAAGCCGTACAGTCTAATTTAAAGAGGAATGTATTGAAGCCTTCAATAGGTGTTCCGTGAAGTTGCAAACAAATATCACTTGAAAAGTAACCGGTTTCTTTAAAACAGATTTACCAGAATGCAGCTCTATCGGAGGATAGCCCCATCTCCTATTTTTTTTCTGAAAGGGCGATGTACCCAGAAACCTTGAAATGAGGTTGATTTTTTCTCAATTTGTATTTAATCGAATTGTGCTTAGCAGGATCTCCACTCATTTTTAATTAAAATAATTTGTCTTAAAGATGACTCCGCCGGTCACGGTAGCCGAGCGGTCTAAGGCATGAACTGTCTTCGCTCGCTCGGAAGCCGGGATCGTGGGTTCGGATCTGTTTCCTGTGAGGTACGGACTGAATTCTTATATATTATTCTTATACACTGCCGGTCACAGTAGCCGAGCGGTCTAAGGCATGAATTGTCTTCGGTCGCTCGGAAGCCGGGATCGTGGGTTCGGATCTGTTTCCTGTGAGGTACGGACTGAATTCTTATATATTATTCTTATACACTGCCTGTCACAGTAGCCGCGCGGTCTAAGACATGTACTGTCTTTGCTCGCTCGGAAGCCGGGATCGTGGGTTCGAATCCCACTCAGGGCATAGATGTTTAGTTTGTGTGTGTGCGGTTTTCTGTGTTTGTGTACAGGTAGAGGCCATGCGACGAGCTGATCACCCGCCCAAGGAGTCCTACCGAATGTGTAAGATCTAGAAAAACCAAAGTGAACGGAGAAGTTCATGGAGGTAGGCCTAGGCCCACTGGGGCTGTAGTGGCAAGGAAACAAAAAAAAAAAGATGACTCCATGTGTATTTCGATCAGTGAAGGTGAAGATATTTCCAAGGCCTTTCCCACGCATATTACATTCCATTTGGAATGCGTTAAGTATTTTTATATTTGTGTTTCTTTGTTCCGGAAATCCATCTTGTTTTCGACACAAATTTAACTGTCTTGTCCTGCGTAATAAACAAGAACAAACTCTGTGGCCTGTAGTCTGCAAGCGAACTATACCGATCGAGCGACCGCCGCTTGTCGGCGAAGTTGGTGCCAAATTTTGCGGATAGAGGGTGTCGCATGGTCAGCGCAACGGATCCCAACGGCCGTTAATTTCGGTTTTCTATACTGGAGCCGCTATTTCCTTGAAACAGCTCCTAAATTACCATCACAAGGCTGAGTGAACCCCATTCCAGAGCCACTACTTCTCAGAAAATCTGGTAGCGCTGGGAATCGAACCCGGGACCTCTGAATCTGTAGCCAGAAACTCTGACCACTAGACCACAGAGGTGGTCCTTGTCCTGTAATAGAGAATGTTATTCCCGCTCGACAGTTTGGCTTAATTAGCGTACAATTTACACTTCCGTCAACAAGAACTTCAAGAAAACAAGAATCTCAAGGACGTGTACTTTTCTTCTGTCAATGAAAGATTCCAACAGTGTTATTTTTCTTCTGTTGCAGTCAAGCGCGCCGTCGATATTCGCAACAGACCTCGTATTCCTATACCAGACGAAGATCCTTACAGTGTCGCCGGTAGCGGAGGGTCATCGGGAAGTTCTGGAGTTGGAACTGGTACCACTGGCACAGGAAACGGAACTGGTATGGTTGCCGCGGCCAGGGAACAACTACTGCAGCAACAGCAACAACTACTGCAGCGCCGCAGTGACAAACCACCAAAACTACCACCACGAGACAACACTTACCCACACGATATTCCAAAGGTCAGTGAAAGTAGAAGACTGAAACAAAATGTTTAACTACTCTCACCGCAGTGGTAATTATGTGTACCACTTATGTTACTGGTCAGTAACCTGATATGAAGTATGTTTTGGCTTACAAAACAAGGATCTGTTATTTCGTGGCGTCTATCTTCAAACAAATCAATGCCAGTAATGTGACAGGAGTGGCTGAATATAAACATGAGGTTCTCATGATACTGTCTTAAGTGATGTGACACCATGTATAGGGATGGATAGCGGTCTGGACAGCCCGGGATTGATTCCCGGCATGGTAAGAATGTTCTCTTTTTCACAGAGTACAGACCCATTCTGGGGCCCATTCAGCCTCCTATACAATGGGTACCGGAAGTGAAGTGGCCGGAAGGTGAAGCTGACCACTCACATGTATAATGCCGAGATCAAGTATGGTGGAGCTAAACTCCACTCACCCATGTCTTCATGACATAGTTCTCAATTAATTAAGCACAGGGAAAGCTTTTATTTTTTTTTAACTAGAACTTCCGGGGAGAACTAATCACCTACTTTCCTTTGATGTGACTCAGACCGCATAGCACACAAAAATAAATTAAGGCGGTACACAGCCAGACAGCAAGATGATCTCATAAACCCACTCATGTTTCATTAATAAGGAAAGTAGGCTAAAAATGAATGCAAATTTACCTCCATTCCCCCTAGTAGTAGTAGTAGTAGTAGGTGGAGGGGGAGGTAGCGTCTTTATTACCGAGTGTCACTGTAGAATTCCTGGTTCGCGTTAGTGGAATCACGTGTTCAAATATCAGTTTGTAGACTAGCCGATTTGATTAAGATTTTCATGGTTTTCCTTAGTTCCTCGAGGTATATGCCGCAACAGGACCTCAAATTAAACCAATGTCGTTTACTTTCATATTTTTCCAATTCATTTAAGCCTAATCATCCTACTATTCGACACTGCATTGACCGACCTACATACACCGCTGTTAACTGAAAAACAGAAACATTAGAAAAGGTAAAAGGTATTCCTGTAACAGGCCGTGGAGGCCCGTAGGGTTGTGAGACGTCGAGGTTCCCACATTTTCTCTAGACAATCTGCTCACAGATAGCGATGAATTTGTCAGCCTTACACGCCGGTCATCCTTTACCTCCAGGAAGATTCGTGGTACTCATTTCTGTTAGGTCATTAGGTCAACTGAAAAATGCAATGACCTCATTGAACCCGCGATCTTCCGGCTTGTAGCACAGTGACTCAATAAACTACGCTAACGCGTGATAAAAGGATAAATATTTGTGTTAATATAAATAGTGATATATTCCATAAGACAATTTGAAGATCTGTGCCGTAAATTCGTGCAGACAAGAATTCTTCATGAGGGATACGAAATATAAGATGAACAGCACAGCGGTCTCTCGAATCATATTACGACTGACCTTTACCCTCCTTCCTTTCCCTGTAGTCATGGGTTCGTGTTTTACTTGCGGCGCTACGGAAACAACGTCAATTATGTCAACCAGATCAAACAATCACTGTGACCTCTAGACTTAATCCAGTTACTGAACACAACCGCGCCCGGCTTTTCTTTCTCTTGTGCAACACACGAAGACCTGGCCATGCAATTGTCACAAGCCACGCAGTAATCATACCACCGTACGTTCCCTTTCACCAGGCAAGGAACAGCAAGTCACCTGCATCGGCTTTTCAGTCATGCCTTCAGGAAATAAACCCCTGGATGCTAATAGAATTTCTGCGTAAGATGAAAAGCAAAAGATGAAAGCCCCGTTGCGGAAATAATAATTATAATACTTACTTACCCATGGAGCTGAGCCCTTCTTGAGGAGCCGCTAATTCTGAAACTACTCAGGAATTTCCCAATATTTTATGGAACCCAAAGGTTCATTACCGTGTTCACAAGAGCCTTCCACTGATCCCTATCCTGAGCCAGACCAATCCAATCCATACCATCCCATCCTATGTCTCTAAGATCCATTTTAACATTGTCCATCCACTTACGTCTTGGTCTTCCTGATGGTCTCTTTCGTTCTGGCTTTCCCACCAATACCCTATATACATTCGTCGTCTCCCCTATTCGTGCTACACGCCCTGCCCACCTCATCCTCCTTGACTTGATCATTCTAATTATACCTAATAATAATAATAATAATAATAATAATAATAATAATAATAATAGATTAAAATCTGAGCTTGGAGACCAAGTATCGTGGCTGCGGATTTATGCGGTTTTCCTCAGTTCGTCCAAAGGAATACAGGAATTGAACATTAAATTCTGATAGGATTACATCCTTCCACGTCCCTTTCAATTCATTATGCGCTTATCGTCTCATCTTACTATGCTCATGGAGGTAGGCCTAGGCCCACTGGGGCTGTAGTGCCAAGGGGGAAAAATAAAAGCGAAATAACAGCCCGGAGGCCAATTACAAAGTAAGAATGAATATGTAGAAAGAACAAAAAGACTTACAAATAAAATAAAAATAAGGCAGTTTATATAATAACAATAACATCCTTACTGATTTTTTTTAATTCGTTTAGTGGGGGGTGGAGTCCAACTGGGTCCACTCGGCACGGCGGCCACTGATTGGCCTATTGTAGCCTGCCTCGGGTGATTATTATGATGATGGAGAATTTGGTGGAATGAAGATTGGCAGGGGAAACCGAAGTACTTGGAGAAAACCCGCCCCAGCGCCGCTTTGTCCACTACAAATCCCACTTGACCGTACCTAGAATCGAACCCGGGCCGCCGCGGTGGGAAGTTAGCGACTAACCGCTTGAGCTATGGCGCGGCCCTCACGTTCACTATAACTGTGCAATGTTGCTATCATTCTCAGTAAATTTCCAGCGGAACTTTAGCAATGTTGCTGGCACACTCGTTGGTACGGACTGCCCTAACAGTCTCGAGCGGTCTCGAGGCTGGGAACCAGCCGGTGCGGGTTACGCAGGCTGCAGGCATGAGTCTGTTGCAAAACCGAGGTCTTTCTGGCGCTGTAAACTGTAAACTGTCCGTCTGAAGGTTTTCAAGAAAATGTTTGTAGTTTTGGAGCAATGCATTTAAACCTTCATGTAAAAGGTAAAGATAAAGTTGTCCCATGCTACAAGCCGGAAGGTCGCGGGTTCAAGTCCCGATGAGGTCATTGGATTTTTTTTTGTCAATGTACCTAATCCTTCCAGCCGCACTATGGTCCTGGGGTCGACTCAGTCTCTAACAAAAATGAGCACCAGGAATTAATTAAATAATTTTCCTGGGGAGCAAAGCGCGGCCGCTGCATAAGGCTGACAACCTCACCGCCATCTTTGAGCTGATTTTCTAGATAATGTGGGAGCCTCAACGTCTCACAACCCTATGGGCCTTCACGGCCTGTTACAGGGATAGCTTTACTTTTTTTTTTTACTATTCGTAATTAAGCACTAGTATATGAAGGCGTACGGGAGAGTGGCACTAGCTGGAGATGAGTGGGCAGCTCCAAGCCCCGGCCGCTTTACCCCAGGGAAAAGAGGGCCCCGATGCCAATTTGATAGGAGTCTGAGTGGACCCCAGAGCCGATGGGGCTCAGGAGATGAATCATGCGAATGATGAAGCTCGACGTCACAATAACCACTTCATGTATGAAATTAGAATAACCGAAGGTCACAGCGTTTTGAATACACCGGTTGTTCTACGATCAAGGAAGTAAAGCAACATTGGGCGTGGTCAGTAATTGGATGGGTGACCGCGGGTGAACACTGCGTCATGTTGGCATTCATTTTGGCCGCGCCGTGTAAGGCGTGAACTGTCTTCGCCCGCTCAAACACTGGGATCTTTGGTTTGAACCCCACTGGAAACATGGATGTTTGTGTGTGTTTATTTATTGTTTGTGCTGTACTGTGTGCAGGTAGCGCGGCCTTCCTATGGGCCGATCCCCCACCCAAGGAGTCCTACCGACTATACAAAAATTAAGAAACTGACCCATTTAGTTATGCCTTTCTAATGTTTCTCCTCTATTTTCAGCCGGACTACGATGACATAGAGGAAGAAAACAGACTGAAACCTTTCCCGTCTTCAAGGGGAAGAGATAAAGCGAAAGATAATAAGAAATATGGTGAGTGAAATATCTGTCCATATAATTAATATTATTAATATTAATAATTAATTTTTTTACATCATAAAGTCTTACAGCTCTATCAAAGAATAATATTCACCCTTGTTCCAGAAACGTATCTGTGAGTAATGTGAAAATAAACCTTTAATGTATACAACTACAAGACCCGGAAAATGAGAGCCAGTTTCCCCATCAATAATTTGATTTGGATACGAGAAATATTAATAATTTATAAAGAGTTCTGAGAGTGGTGTGTACTGCTGCGATTCTTTGCTTTAGCCATCTTATGATATTTGAAAAATACGACGTTTCGGAAACTGGATCTGTTTCCGCCTTCAGGTAATGGGATTGGAAACACCTAATCCTTTGGTTCCGTCAGGGATAACATCAAATTCAGTGAATGAGGCTAGCTTTTTCTAACGGACCCAACAGAGTAGGTGTCTGTCCCCTGCATTTTATGGAACCCCAAGGTTCATTACCGTGTTCACAAGAGCCCTCCACTGGTCCCTATCTAGAGCCAGATCAATCCAATCCATACCATCACGTCCTGTCTCTCTAAGATCCATTTTAATGTTGTCCACCCGCCTACGTCTTGGTCTTCTTGATGGTCTCTTTCCTTCTGGCTTTTATATGCATTCTTCTTCCCCATTCGTGCTACATGCCCTGCCCACCTCATCCTCGACTTGATTATTCTAATTATACTTGGAGAAGAGTAAAAATTACGAAGGTCCTCATTTTAGGCGCCTCTGGTAGTTCCGGTTCCGACACACAGAGAGCAGTTAAAGCCGCTCTCTTCAAACTACGTCATAAGAGGAAAATGTTTTTGTGTACTTATACTTCATTCGTAATGTCTAGGGAGTGCGCGTAAACAAAGTCGAAGCACGTAGCGGGACAGATGAAAAGCGCACTTGAGAGCGCGCCTACCATTCCGCAATGTTCAGTGTGTCATAACGCATTACGGTTGCATCACGTGAACCTCTCGAACGGTACTTCCCCGGTCCCTTATCCAGCAAGACACGAACACGCCTGTCGTCCATGTTTTGTTTACGTGCATTCCCCAGACATTTCCAATGGAGTATACTCATAGTGGCCGGTCACGGTAGCTGAGCGGTGTGAGACATGCACTGTATTCGCTCGCTCAGAAGCCGGGATCGTGGGTTCGAAATCCACTGAGGGCATGGATATTTCGTGTTTGTGTGTGTGAGTACGTATTTCTGTATTTGTGTACAAGTAGCGGCCTTGCGACGAGCTGATCACCCGCCCAAGGAGTCCTACCGAATGTCTAAGATCTAGTAAACTGAAGTGAAACGGAGAGTTTCATGGGGGTAATCCAACGCCCAAATTGGGGCTATAGCGCCAAAGAAAAAATACTCATAGTGACGTGAATAATGAGAAGCATCATAACTTGTACCCTTCGCCAAGAATAATTATAGTCAAAGAAGATGAGATGGGGAGGGTATGTAGCACGAAGGGTGATAAGTGGAATGCATATAGAATTTTGGTGGGAAAGACAGAAGGAAAGAGATCAGTCGGAAGAATACCGCGTAGATGTGTTGATAATATTAAAATGGTTCTTAGAAAGATAGTTTTGGGTGATATGGATTGAATTGATCTGGCTCAGGATAGGAACAAATGGTAGGCTCTTGTGAACACGGTAATGAACGTTCGGGTTCCATAAAGTGTTGGGAAATTCTTGAGTCGCTGCGCAAGTGGCAGCTTCTCAAGAAGGTTTCAGCTCCATGTAATTATCATACTCATGGTTATTTGCAACTGATCACTGCTAACCTTAATGACCATATAAATTCCATGCTCTCTGATGCTGTGTATTACATGCTTCAGTATTTGTGTAGTAGTTTCGTAATAAACAATTAGAACATCTATATCAAGAAGGAATTTATGGCGAGACATGTAGAAAGCTCCTGGGAAACAGCTAATTAAAATATGATTTAGTGTAGGCTCTGAACTAGAAATTTAACCGAAATGCAATTTATAGTTTCGTAGATAAAATATGCTGCGAGACCGACATGTTCTACACGTTATGCTTTTATATTATGATCTTTCTGAAAATAACGTATAAAAATCACGATCTAGTTAAGTCTACGAATAACATATTGTTACGTGTTAGAGTAATTATAGACAGGGTTTTGATTGGATATTGGATTTATTGACCGCTTACAGGTCGTGACTACAAATAACTATAACACAACCGCTATAAAATCACGCTAAACCTTTTCGAACTCGCAGTGTCTTCATTAGTAGTTGCCTGGTAACGGCTTCTAACAATGGCTAGTCCTCTGCTTCCGGTCTCATGTCTTGTCTGAATGGCGGCTCCCTTCTCTCAGACTCCCGCACAGAACTGACTCGTTTGCCCAAATTGTCTTCCTTATGATCCATTTGCACGGACCGATCAGAAAACACCGTTTACAACATTACCTCTATTATTGCATGCGTATCCGTTGCCGAGAGACCGTGCAACGGCTCTACACGCTACAATATTGTTCTGTGAGAGAGAGATGCCCAGAAACAATTTCTGACTATGTAGGATTTCAATTTTTCATGGCTGTGACTGTGATAACAACCATCTTATAAGAAGCGATGCCATTATCTGGTACGTATTCACCGACGTTCCTCCGAAACGTCTTTTGAAATCTATCAAACTACAAGACGGGACTGTGGTTACGTTAATACGAACTAGCAAACGTATTAGAACCGAGAACAATGGAACAGCGATAATGCTCTAGACTTATACTCGAGAGGTGCTGGGTTCGAATCTTGGCCGAAACGCTGCCATCCTCACTGTAATTTATGGTGGATTTTCTCCACGGGAATTTCGAAATATCTCAACGAGACAACGACCACTTCGTTCATTATTCTTTCCAACATTCTGAAAAAATTTAAAGGAGTCCAATAGGGTCACTGTGTCTGTGTCCCCACCAAATCAACTTTTGAATGCCTGAACGAAAATTTATGAAACTTGGTATGTATAACATGGCACCGGAGCCCATCTCAAAGTCGTACTTCATAAATCTTTTCAATCAATCTGTGTCTGTATCGGTATGCTTTATCATTGCTAGGCAACGGCTCGGTAAAAATCATTATGTCCTTGAGAGTTAACGGTTAAATAAAAACGTTAGCAACGAATGCACTAGCAACAATAAAAGGATTGTTCGACGCGTTTTCTTCTATGAGGTCCGTGTCGTATCAAGGAATTCAGGCGTTTAGTTCTTCCCAGAACTTCTTGTTCGCTCATCATTTTTCCATTCTACTTTACATAGCTTGAAGTACTGACTGCATCATGAAATAAACCAGAGATCCTTAAGTAATTTTCACGAACTCTTATACCCCTCTCAGGCCACGGTCTGTAAAGTGACCTTGTTTTTTGTACTCTGGTCGCTGTAGGGAATCAGTGCCAAAGTGAAACTGGTTTCTTTATGAAAATATTTACTGCTCTTACTTTGAAGTCCCTGCCACGTACAAGCATTCCTTTCACTTCTGCTAGTGAGAATGTGTTTTGTTTTAATTATATTCCTCTGGCAAATTTCATAAAACTTAACTGTTCTCCTTCTTGGGCGTCCCAGTAACCAACTCTCTCGTCGCTATATAATAAGGACAACTTTAATACAATGAAGCAAGCAGTCTTCTGGGATGTGGCATCGTGTAGATGTGGTGTTAACCGACGTTTCGGAGGAGCGTATCGCAAACTTGTACCGGTTCTCACGGTCTCTTCGCTTGGGGATTTATTTTTCCTTCTACCCTGAAGATGGAGGCGATACGTTCCTCCGAAACGTCTGTTAACACCACATCTACACGGTGCCACATCCCAGAAGACTGCTTTCTTCATAGTCACCGCCGTGAAAACCTCAAGTCTTACAACTTTAATACAGTCTGCTGAGTACGGATAGCTCAGTCAGTATAGTGACGAGCTATAGGCCGGATAACCCGTGTTCAATTCCCAAAACGGATATGGGGCCCACCCCGCCTCTCATCTAATGGTTACAGTGGGACGATCTTCCCGGATGACAGCGGTCGAGGTCAAGAATAATGGAGCTATATCTCCACTCCCTCATACGTCTTCATGACGTAGTACTTAATTAATAAAACACAGGAAAATCTATCTATAGCTCTACAGCCCTTTTGTTGGACCTCGGCCGAATTTTTAGAGGTAGGAGTCCTTGGACGGGGGATCAGCCCGTCGCAAGGCCGTTATCTACACACAGAACAATACAAATACAGAATAAACGCACACAGACAAATATGTCTTGAGTGGGATTCGAACCAACTATCCCAGCATTCGAGAGAGCGAAGACAGTTCATGTCTCAGACCGCGCGGCCACTGTGATCAACAAAAGCAGGAACATATTTAAATTTGTTACCTTTATGCAGTACGATATATATAGTACATCTCTTTATAATTAACTGTAAGCATGTAATTTATATGGGTATCTCGTAATTCTCGAAAGGAAAGAAAGGTGGGTGGAAGAATTACGAACAAAGAAACAAACAGAGTAACAAAAGGAGAACGGATAAATGAAGAATAAATTTTCTTCATTTTTACTCTACGTGAATGGCATAAATCATATTTTATGAATATTATGTCGAAATAAGACTTTGTTATACAAATCAGTTTATGTCGAGAGTTGAGTCAAGCCTTATGTGTGTGACGATGCTATAGAATTTTATGGCCCTTTCTCTGTGCGTGTCTCAGTAACTCACAATGAACATTTACTGTGAGCTAAGACCTCTCTTGGCCGCGCCATAGTTCAAGCGGTTAGTCGCTAGCTTCCCACCGCAGCGGCCTGGGTTCGATCCCGGGTTTGGTCAAGTGGGATTTATGATGGACAAAGTGGCGCTGGGGCAGGTTTTCTCCTAGTACTTTGGTTTCCCCTGCCAATTTTCATTCCACCAATTGCTCCACAATCACCCTCACCTATCATCTGGAGCTGGCACAATAGGCCAGAAGTGGCCGCAGTACAAGGGACTTAGTCCCACCCCACTAGCAATAAAAAAAATAATAAGACCCCTCTTCGTTCGATTCTGATTCCGTTAACAATTCCATGGAGCAGACTCATTTTTTTAAATATTTTACTGCCTACAATGACTCAGCAGTCAGAGTGGAAAGTAAAATAAAACATATCGGATGTTTCAGATTTGTGCTGGTAAAAAAAGTTTAAAGCTATCCCTGTAACAGGCCGTGAAGGCCCATAGGGTTGTGAGACGTCGAGGCTCCCACATTCTCTAGACAGTCGGCTCATAGATGGCGGTGAGGTTGTCAGCCTTACGCACGGGCCGCGCTTTACTCCCCTGGAAGATTCGTTGTACTCATTTCTGTTAGAGGCTGAGTCGACTCCAGGGCCATAGTGCCGCTAGAAGGATTAGGTCCATTAAAAACAAATCCAATGACTTCATGGGGAATCGAACCCGTGACCTTCCGGGTTGTATCACAGTGACAGAAACTGAACAGATTTATGATGAATGCACAAATGTTTACAGATGACCCGTACTACTGCGGTCTGCGGGCAAGAGTTCCCAACTTCGTCAAGACTGGCAAGTCAAAGGACACCGCGGGTCGGTACCCTGCCAGCACTCTCAGCGGTGGGGCGCCCCAGCCTTCCAGCATGGTGCACCAGTTCCATCAGTACCAGGCTATCCACCATCCGCAACAACATCCGGTCATGTGGCATGCGAGGAGTTTCGACAGCGGCATGGGTGTGTATGGTCACTTGACCACGCTCTTATACCCACGTTGAGCACGGAGCACACGTCTGAATGGGGTACTTGGCAGTCACTATAACAACTAACAATTCTCTCTTCATTTAACAACAAACTCCGTGGTTTTAGTCCACAAGCGAACTATATCGACCGAGCGACCGCCGCTTGTCGGCGAATTTAGTGCCAACTTTAGCGGATAAATGGTGTCACGTGGTCACGGCCGTTAATCTCGGTTTTCTAGACCAGAGCCGCTATTTTTTTAAATGGCTCCTCAGTTATCCTCAAGTGGCTGAGTGGACCCCGTTCCAGCCTCACTACATCTCAGAAAATCTGGTAGCGCCGGGAATCGAACCCGGACCTCTGGATATGTAGCCACGAACTCTGAACACTAGTCCACAGACAGAATTTAATATGTTGGGAGTTATAACATGTAAAATGTAAAGTTGGCCCTGTGCTTAACTACGTAATTAAGAACTGAGCCATGAAGGTGTATGGGGGAGTGGATGTATAGATCCCCATTTTTCTTGACCTCGGCACTAGCTGGAGGGGAGCGGTCAGCTTCACGCCCCGGCCGCTTTACCCCCGGGGAAAGACCCTCCGGTACCCATTGGATAGAAGACTGGGTGGACCGCAGAGCCGGTCTGGACGACATGAAGAAAAAATTCTTGCACCTACCGGGACTCGAAAATGTACGAAATCGGGTACACCACTCCCCAAAATGGGGGTCAGAATCGTTTAGTGCGTTCAGGTTTCGTTATTACCCCTAATTTTAATGCAAGAGACATGGACGTACAAAACCAATTATTACTTAATTGAAATTAATAACATATTTTCAATGCAAATATTTTGTTTTTTCACTAAGACATCAATTTGAGTCGGGATACGTCATTTGACAGCGGCAGGTTATGGCCTGCACGGCCGAGGTTCGATTCCAGGCAGGGAGAAGATTGTTCTCTTCTCCACAGAGTCCAGAATTGTTCTGGGGCCCACCCAGGGGACAGGGACAACTGTACAATAAGATATCTCTTTTAAGATCTGAGGTTTCCAAGGCGGTGACTAAGGATTCCGTCTTCTGCGATGTGGCGCCGGCGTTTCGAAGCCGATTTTCATTTTTCTTTAACAGAACTTTGTATGAATCTCATTTGCCCCTGCATGCTATATGTCTCGCGAGTTCAATCCTTTATTTTATTATCTTTATAATTAATCACTTCTTGCACAAATTAAACAAATGAACACGCAACGGGATTTTAGGGTGTTTTTTTTTTGTATTTCTCACGTTGTTATGTAAGGTAAAATTCAACTGCATGGATATTGAGCCTCGAATGTTCAACTCTCTAATTCTAAATACTACTAAGGCGCGTCCGCATTACTCGTGCTCGTGTGACTCGCTATGATCGCGAGTAATGTGGACGATATGACAAGTCACGAGACAAGCAAATTTTAAATTCTTAAATTAAGAACTATAGCCAATAAATTAAAATACGACTACAGCCTATACACACTACGAGTAAATATACGGATCCTCACGCGCCGAAGCCCGGCGAGCAACTGAAGTAGTGTGGACGAAGATTTACGGGCACAAGTAAAAGCCAGACGGGTCTCCAGACGAGCAAGAGCACGAATAATGTGGACGCGCCGTTAGATTTATTGAAATGCATGCCTGTAGTACTTTGTTCTCAAAATGGCCTACACAGGGTTTTGTTGTAAACAATTTCTTCTCTGTCTTTTGTTACAATCATGAGCAAGAATATTTATTTATATTCTTTCGTCTTACTCTTTTTTTTTTTGGCTGAGTTATGTATTTTCTTTCGCTTTCTTAAATGTCTTGTAACTTTCTAGCACCATGTCTGCGTGTGTGTCTGATGTACAAATCTTCGCATGACAACTTATCATTGCTAGAAAACAGTAATTATTTTAAATGTTTAATTGCGCCATGTACATGCAAAACGTGAAGACATAAATTATATGATAAAAGCCCATTATATTTTGGGGCCGATCACAGTGGCTGCACGGTCTAAGGCATGAACCGTCTTCACCCGCTTCAACACTGGGATCGTGTGTTCGAATCCTACTTGAGGCATGGATGTCTGTGTGCGTTTTTTCTGTGTTTATGTTGTTCTGTGCAGTAAAGATGGCAGTAGAAACAGTAGCAGTAGCAGAAGAAGTAGTAGTAGTCGTTAGTAACAGTTTTAGTAGTATTGTAAGCAGTAGCAGTGACGGAAGTGGTATATATCAGTAGAAAGGTCACGATCACAACTCTCAAATCCTTATGAACGCATTTTTCGTTGTAATTTCCCCTTACTATTTGACGCTAGCTAACCTTAGCACTCGAAAGAGCATTAATATTTCAAGAATCAATCCCAGTAAGTTAAGTAGATTCTAAAGTGTTCCGGTGACAGAGTCTAACCCTAGGGATTAATCGGTTCTTGGTTTCTCCATCATCCGTTATTCTAAAAGTTCGAAAACTGGATCAGTTTCCTTCCTCAGGTAATATGGTGGGAGACACCTACTCTGTTGGGACCGTCAGAGCTAACGTCAAGTCCAGTGATTGAGGTTCGCTCTTTCTAAGGGACCCAACAGAGTAGATGTCTCCCTCTCACATGAAGACCTGGCCCTGTGATTGAGGTTAGCTCTTTGTAAGGGACCCAACAGAGTAGGTGTCTCCCTCTCACATGAGGACCTGGCCCAGTGATTGAGGTTAGCTCTTTCTAAGGGACCCAACAGAGTAGGTGTCTTTTCCCCTCTCACATGAGGACCTGGCCCTGTGATTAAGGTTAGCTCTTTCTAAGGGACCCAACAGAGTAGGTGTCTTTTCCCCTCTCACATGAGGACCTGGCCCTGTGATTAAGGTTAGCTCTTTCTAAGGGACCCAATAGAGCGGGTGTCTCCCTCTCACATGAGGACCTGACCCTGTGATTGAGGTTAGCTCTTTCTAAGGGACCCAACAGAGTAGGTGTCTCCCTCTCACCTGAAGAGTGAAACAGATTCAGTTTCCGAAGTTTTGTGCTCTCTAGGCCACTGGACGATGGACAATGTTAAAAATTCCAGAAAACCCGAGACTGAAAATATAAGATTTCCTGAGAGCTTGAGTGTGAAACGGAACCTAATTATCAGAATACTTTTTCTGACTCTGTAACCCAATAAATTGAGACATTTATTTAAGTACCTTTTTTTTCTGCTTGCAGATTCTGAAGCACTGGAGTCCCCTTACAATCACATATATGGCCGCTTACCCATTCCTACCAGAGGCTACATACCACCTACACCGAGGACAATGTTCGTCGGCGAATGGGACTGAAGAAACACGCAACCTCGAAGTAGAGGATGCATTCAATTAGCAACATTTCATGAAGCAAAGAATTGTGATTACTGTACAGCCTATAGTTAGATTCAAATTGTAAGGCAGAAGCCTTTGTTTCTTATTTGAAATATTTGGAACTTATCTGCGTATAAAAAATAGAAAAAACGTACCACGAGCTTGAGAGCAAAATCAATTTAAGCTAAAGGTACTTATTATAATATTCTATAAGAAGAACATATCCATTAGCACCATCAATTTTATATTATGGATACTAAATTATGTGTAAATTTTTATGTTACGGATTCCAGTTTAGAATTTTATTACAGTACCATGTAAGATATTACTTATGTTAATATTTCATATTTTAGTATAGTAACAATTTATTAAATAATAGTTAAGTTTAGCGAATATTTTGTTTTTCAGTTACACACGTGATTAAGTTCTGATGTTTAGTCTGTATTTATAATATAAATGTTTTTAAACGAAATGAATAGATCTTTGATATCTCAAGTTGTACACAAAGTAAGTGCGCTTAAGTGACGTGAGGTTGGAAGGCGGTGATTTCGTCATGTCACAATGAAATTATATTACGTCTTCCTTCTTTCAGATACTCCAAAAATATTTCTAAAAAAGTAGAAATATTGTAATATAATAACTCCATTTCACTCAGCATTGAAATCCGTTTGTTATAATAAACAAATTGAACTATTTCCTTGCTATAAAGAAAGAATATTTCACTTCGAAACAATTAGAACACATTAAAATTGATTATTATCTTTAACAATGTGCATCTGCCACCTCTCTGAAGCTGCGTATTTCACACTAAGTGACATCTAGCTTCGCGAACATTATACATAAATAAATGCAGGGATTTTATTAAATAAAGCTAAACACTGAAGAGTTAAAGAATAACACAATACTTGAACATCAGCATAATATGTGCTGAGAGACAATATTAACTTGTGTTGACCCAAATTTTCAATAACATTCCTTCTTTTAACTCTTATTCATTACAACAGTTTGATACAACGCAATTCTTGTGAACGAAATAGAATATAGAATGTAATATCGCGAGTGAAAGACATGAACTTTATGTTATCAGTGAGTGAATAGATTCTAGAATAAAATTTTAAATGAAGTGTAATTGAGAGCTAACAGTGCTTGCATAAATATATGGAGTGGTTATCAATAATTACACGCAGATACCAAAATATATTGAAATCTGTCCGACACTTAAAAGACATTTTATTAGCGTAGTCTTGGACATATTTCAGTTAGTGTCTCATTAACATTAAAAAATCTGTGTTAAAATTGATGGGTGCGTTCAGAAATTTTGTCATCATATTCCTGGACTGTGTCTAGATACATTTCTTAAAGGTAAAAAATGTAAATCTATCCGTAAAACAGGCTGTAGAGGCTCATGGGTCTGTGAGACGACGAGGATCCCACATTTTCTAGACAATCAGCTCACAGATGGCAGTGCGGTCGTCAGCCTTAGGCTCCGGCCGCCTTTACCCCCAGGAATATTCCTGGTACTCATTTCTGTTAGAGGCTGAGTCGACCACATGGCCATAGTACGGCTGGAAGGATTAAACCAATTGAAAGAATCCAATGACTTCATCGGGAATCGAACCCGCGACCTTCCTGCTTGCAGCATAGTGCCTCAATCAACTACGCTACCTCGTACCCTGTAGATACATTTCTTAATGTATTCATCACCATGTTTTAAAAATGTCTTCCATATTAGAACAGCCTAAATACTGTTACAGTCAAAATCTTAAGTAATTACGAGTCCATTTTGTTTTTTATAATTATGATCCAGAACTTGCTCTGATGGTTTGAAATTACAACGCCAAGTGCAATATGTTATAACCCTTTTACTTCAATCAAAGTATGTAACAAGTAGGGAAGACTGCTACATCTTCATATCACATGACCAACATCTCGAATCGGTACCCCGTTAAAATTAATTCATGTACACGTTATGAGATGGCGCAACAATCGTCTTTCTCCATCCAAAAACTAGATCACGGCCCTTACTGTCCAACTATCACACTTTATGAAGACCCACTGATGTAATTGTTACATATTTCATCTATCAACATAAATTTTAAGGCAGTATTGCGGAAATATTCGTGTTTCCTTTCTCCAAGTCCATATTATATACTTTCGACATTCAATATCTCATTTATAAACGAAACAAATTATGTTTATTTAAAATGTAATTTTCTTGCTTCAGGGATAGTGTTCTGGGACCATTTCCTGTAGTCAAATAATTGATTCAGTGTTCAAATATATATCACAGATGTTTATTAGCTGACACTATATCAGCACACAATGATGCTTCATGTTATACGAAATAGGACAGCAATATGGTTACTAAAACGAACAGCATAATTTATGTAAATTATTTATAATAATTGCATTACGAACCAGTAATATTTTGATGACATGCTCACTGAATTTTTGAACGCACACTGGAAGGAGTTATAAACGATATAATTCTGTTTATTGATGAGACTTAGGAGTTAGATTAATCAGCAGAGTTTCAGGAGTGAAAGCATATCAAATACCAAGAGGTCGTGTTGCTTGGTGCTACGTGTCTGTGTGAGTGAGACAGCGCTTCTAACGTCTACTGAAGTGGTGTGACGTATTCTAATGATAAACTGTACAATGTAAGTCCCGCAGTACATGTATTTTTTTCTACTTTATAGAAACAAGCAATAAATTGGTGATGGAAATAAATCCATGGCTTATCTTATACATGTTCTCCCATTTATTAATTGACAAAGACATTAAAATGACGTAATTATGATTATGTATCAGGCATAAGGAAAAGGGAACATGAAGAAATAATTCGTAATTTCTACCCTTTATCTAACACATACATAGTAATGAAAATGACTGGACATGTAGCATGCATGGCGGGGATTGTTTAGTCGGTTTAGCGACGGACCACAGGCTGGGTGGTCGAGATTCGATACCCGGCAGGACCATGATTTTTTTCTTCGCTATTAAATCCAGACGGGCTCTGGAACCCATTCAGCCTCCTATCCAACGGTTCCAGAGACGAAGTCCTCAGCGTAAAGCGGGAGGAGCGTGAAACTGACCACTCACCTACCTGCAGTGCTTAATTAAGCACAGGGATAATTTTAGGAGCCAGGATAGTGTAGTCGGTATAGCGACTGCCTACGGGCTGTACGACCGAGGGGTCGGAGTTCGAGTCCCAATAGGGTCAAGACTATTCTCTTCTCCACGTCGTCCACACCGGCTCTGGAATTCACTTAACCTCCCATCCAATGGGTACCGGGGGATCTTTCGCCGTGGGTAAAGCGGCAGGGGCGTGAAGCTGACCAATCACCTCCAGGTAGTGCCGAGGTTAAGAAAATATGGATCTATACATCCACTCCCCATACGCCTTCATGGCGTAGTGCTTACTCAGGGATAACTTCACCTCTTTTTCTCAAAACATTTTTCCTCCAAAACTTGCAAGGAAAACGGCAAGTCGCTAGATATAAACATGTCCTTTTTCCGGGTGTGATATGTCCCAGTCACCGATATTGACTAGTTACTAGTGACTGTGCTTGATGATCGGTGAATCTGGGTTCTATCATCCAGACTGGGGCCCACCCAGCCTCCTATCCAACGGGTTCTGAGAGCCCTTTACCTGGGGGTTCAGCGGCCGACACGTGCTCACCTCTATCTATTGACAAGGTTAAGTATGCGTGGAGTTATACATCCACTCCCCCATACGTCTTCGTGGTGTGTACTTAATTAAGTTCAAGGATGACCTCATCTTCTTTACCTTATATTGCGCTCATCGTTAAAAGTGGCTTTAGCCTGAGGCTTGTCTGAGCACGAGAAAGATTAACGAATTCTGTAAACCTCAACCAAAACTTATCTGAGCGAGAATTGTTGCTGCTGATATTGTTGGTGGAGGTGAATATCCAATCAGAGGCAGCGATTTAATAGCTAATGATGTCTGGGTGATGATTCACTCTATAGACCATTGCCACGAGCAAAAATTCTCCCCTGGGAAGAGCTGTGATTCACATGAAGAAAAGAAGAAAAAAAACCGGAGTGGCCATCTAGAATAACACTATATGGACGCGTAAGTAGGAAGAAATTCAAGAGAGTATAAATAAAAGCAGTAAATAAAGAATGAAAACTTTGTAATAGTACAAAATGTGATCTAATCGAAATTCCATCATGTAGCCATGGTTTTCGTTCGTGGAACAGATCTATTGTCGATTGTAATGGGTTATTCAGCCAGTCAATGATCGAGCAAGGTCGCCAGAAGGCTATTGGATGCAGATACATAAAACCACGTGACTAGAAAATTATCTTCAATAGAAGAAAATCATGATGCGCGGAAGCATAACAAATTCAAAAATTTAAAATATTGCATAAAAAACAATCTCCAAGTTTTATTACCGTGGTCACAAGCGCTGGCTACTTGTCCCTATCCTGAGCCGGATGAACATAATCCATACCACAGTATCCTGTTTCTCTAAGATACATTTTAATATTATCCTCCCATATTTCCTTCTTAATTTTTTCACGAAAATTCTATATACATTCCTCTTCTCTTCATGCATGCTATATGCCCTACCCTTCTCATCATCCTTGACTTAATAATTCTCGTTTTATTTGGCGAAGAGCAGAAGTTATGCAGTATTCTCTGAGGAGAGGATCACCTGCACCGCAGTGTGACATGACTCAATCCAGCGCTCCCACACTCTGCGAAGTGAGTCAGTGCAGTCGCCCGAAACACCGTCCTCGCAAGGTCGAACCGAGGGAGTGAGTACCCGATGGGAAGATGCGGTCAGCCAAATAAATAAAACGAAAGGAATTCACATTCATTTGCCTGCGAACCTTACAACGTGTCCTCACGTCACTGCAGGTAGAACAGAGGATGCAAACAAGGACAGTCTCATTTTCTGGTAAATTGCTCTTGGTCTTCGCCAGCACAGTCATTCTTGATTTTGGGCCCCGCTGGACCCACGATCATGTTTTCCATTACTTTCAGTCTACTATCCTGTCGGTAGGTTTTTTCTTTTCATACGACATGGCCCATATGGAAAACACCACGTCCAACATTGTATTCTTTACTGCGGTAACGTGTGTACCAAGACGTTACTTGGGGCATACATAGACAGAGAGAGAGAAATGTGAACTCACAAATCTCCTTTTATTTTTTAAAAATAAAAAATAGGCTAAAAACGAAATTTCTTAAATTACTACTGGGTTCCTTTGTGTTTATGAGGATATTTAAGAAGCATTATCTGCTTCTTTATTTCAAAATTAGGAATACAGTCCGGATAGCTCAGTGAGTATAGTGACTAACTGGACAACCAGCTTATCAGGGTTCGTTTCCAGATGGGAATATTTTCAGCACAGTATCGAGACCCGCTCTGGAACTGATACAGCCTTCTGTTTGATGAGTACCGGATTTTCTCCAGGGTGTAAGCAGCCGGAGCGAGAGGCTGACCATTCCACTTCATCAAGTGCCGATTGTTAAGAGAGAATGGATATATACCCCCTCCCATGAGTTACAGGTCAGGGTGCGTAATTAATTAAACACGCGTCAACCACAATGGGCTGTGTCCCATATAAATTAATTCGTGAGAGTTGAAGATTGGGTGTTCCGGCATATGACGCCGTGTACTCTGCATGCTTTTAGACATGGACGTTCTCAGCAGAACACGCTATAGATCAGGTCGATTCCTCTTAGAATAGGACAATACGGCGTTTATGGATTATAACGGAGCCGTACCCATAGTGCGTCACAATTCCTTTCTCTCACAATGTATCTGAAACCACTGTCCCTCTACGCCTTTCGATATTTCCCCTCACTTCTCACGTATAACCCAGACACCAGGACAAAAACACGGCCTGTGAACAGACACAGGAACTCACTGTCTCCACATTGTGTCCAATCTTGTAGACAGAGGCAATAAATATCCCCGAAACGTCACTATATCTACCAAATTTAACATTGTCACATCCAAGGTTATCGCAATTTACATTAAATAACTCGAAGAATGCTGTCATCTGGGATGTGGCTCCGTATAGATCCTGTGAACCGACGTTTCAGAGGAACATATCGCCTCCACTTTCACTGCAGGAACCAGCTTGAGCAGGTGGCTGCAGACTGAGTCACCGCCGTGAAAACCTCAAATCTTACATTAAATAACTCGCTCAATACCTGAATTGTTGAATATCATTAGAAGGGGATTTCCCTCTTATCATATTTCAAATGACAGCGGAACGTAAAGGCCAGTGTTTCTTTCCGATATATTCGTGTGTAGCTAGGAAGCGGGTTCATATTCCTCACATTTCCAAAAGATTCTCCGTCAAAATTACAGTGTATCACACACACTGTAGGTTTGAACACTGATCCGCCATATTGAAATAGCAATTTTATTTTTTCAAAAGCAACTAATAATAATGATGAGCGAAACACTGACCCCCTCACCCTCCCCATTGGGTTACAGGTAAATTCCCTGAAG